ACTATATTCACTGGTACACTCTCTAGCTTTAGTGGTTTAACATTGATCCTATAGTCAGAGGGTCTGTTATTAATACATACAAGATTTTATTTTAAAATGTAGGACCTTTGGGTTTCCAATTTTATGTTAACTGTAGTTATATCATTTTAGTAATTTGTAAGGCAGACTAGATTTTGTCTTTGTTTTGCCTCATGTGTAACTTAAGTTGGTCCTCTGCATACACATTCCCAGCCACCAGTTGACACTGAACAGTGCTGGTTTGAACTGTGTTACAAACCGCATATAAGTGGACAGTAAATATTCGTGGAAATGAATATAGGTATTCACCACTTTCCACAAGTTCTCGTTATGCAACTTCACTTTTATGAAAGACCTACCCATTTTAGCATACTGAAAGAAATCTGAAGAGGAATTTTGCTTTTAGGAAAAAAGCCATTACCATACTTACGTAGGTCTTTTGCTTTTTGTAAAAGTGAAGTGGAATAATGTGAACTTTCTGAAAGCAGGGGATACTCTTCGCTTTATATATGCCAGTTTGGCTTTTGAAAGATTTCATAGGCACGCTACTTTCAGATACTGGGGAAACGTACTCTCATTGAGAATGAAAATTTTATTTCTGATATCATGGTCTAAAATTAAACATTTTTTTCCCTTCAGAGTGACAAAAAGAGTAGTCCCCAGAAAGACGTTAAGTATGAACCCTTTTCTTTTGCTGATGGTAAGTGAATCTTTATTTCAATTGTGGTGTGTGTGTGTGTGTGTGTGTGTTTTAAGGTAAGATTACTGTCTAGTCACATAACTCTTTTTTTTAGTTATCATGCTTTAAAAAAAGTCAGGGTTCTTGAAATCTAATTTATCTCAATATGACATACAGTAAAAATCACTCTTTTTAGCATAAACTTCTATGAATGATACTTCTTAAAACATCTTTCATGAAGCCTTAATTTTGGATAGTATCTTACTGGATTCTAATAGAATAGTGCTTCTCTAGGCTAAACTTCAAAACATAGTTCTTGCTTGTTATTTGGTTTTAGAAAGCACATGTCTGTTTATTTGTCTAATATTGAATTTATATCTTCCTTTAGACATTGGCTCCAATAATTGTGGATACTATGATTTACAAGCAGTGTTAACACATCAGGGAAGGTCTAGCTCTTCAGGTCATTATGTATCATGGGTGAAAAGAAAAGAAGGTAAAGATTCTTTTTTTTTTTTTCAGTTGTTACATACTATTTTAATAGTTTGTTTAATATAAATTTTATAACAGTGGTTCTCAAACTTTTCGGTTTCAGAATCCTTTTACACTCTTTTTTTAAAAAAAATATATTTTATTGATTTTTTACAGAGAGGAAGGGAGAGGGAGAGAGATAGTTAGAAACATCGATGAGAGAGAAACATCGATTCAGCTGCCTCTTGCACACCCCCTACTGGGGATGTGCCCGCAACCCAGGTACATGCCCTTGACTGGAATCGAACCTGGGACCCTTCAGTCCCCAGGCCGACGCTCTATCCGCTGAGCCAAACCGGTTAGGGCCTTTTACACTCTTATATTGAGAACCTTCCCATTTTGTTTATGAGGATTGTTTCTTTATAATAGAAATTAAAACTGAGAAGTAAATTTATTCATTCAAAACTGACAGTAATAAACCAATTACATAAATAATATTTAAAAAATGAAAATCCCAATTTTTTCCCAAACAAAAAAAAGTGGCAAGAAATGGTATTGATTTACATTTTTATAAGTCTTTAATAGGAGACAGCTAGATTCTCCTAATTATTTCTGCATTGTCTTTTGCTTTATCATACGTTGTGTAGCCTCAGGAAAATTCCAAAGTACACTTGAGAGAATGAGGGGGGAAAGGTACTTAATGCTTTAGTAGTGTTATGAGAATAGTTGTAACCTTCATGGAACTCCTGAAATGGTTTTGAACCTGAGTAGTCCCTGGATCATGCTTTGAGAACTGTTGCTATGGTAGATGGAATACTGCTGTGCGTAAAGTACCTTTTTTGAAATGGAACTCTGAAAAAATTGTGAATGATTTTAATTTCATTTTCCTCTCGTTCTTTAGATGAATGGATTAAGTTTGATGATGATAAGGTCAGCATTGTGACACCAGAAGATATCTTGCGGCTTTCTGGTGGTGGAGACTGGCATATAGCTTATGTTTTACTCTATGGGCCTCGCAGAGTTGAAATAATGGAAGAGGAAAGTGAACAGTAATCTTCATTTTAGCTATTTATGCTTAGGTGTGAAATAAATGTTATTTGTTGATCATTTCTATAATCCAGAGCTTTAGAGGAAGATATATAAGTGGTTTTGTTTTCCCTCATATGGAACAAAGGGCAGAAGCAGACCACTCTGTGTGTCAACATAAAATATTGCAGAAAAGAGAAGCCTTTGGACTGTGCTGCTCTGTATAAAGGTGACAGGAAGAAATTTTTTAAAAGCTTATTTCTTGCATTAATTTTTTAAAATTCTGAGTTGAAATGCCTTTCAACCATTATCTTCTGTGATAATTTTCCCTGCCTTTTTCAGCTCAATATTCAGCAATGAAATGTTTATTGCACACCTATTACTGTTTTGTTGTTCTTGCATGGTTCAAACCACAGGTAATTTCCTTTGCCTTATCTAACAAATTCTTCCAGGAAGATGGAAAGGAAGTAAGTGTTGCTCTCATTGTGCTCTCAGTGCTGCTGTCCACATAGCCCATGGAAACATGGATACAATCAAGTATTTGTCCAGCCTGATTGTTGCTGGCTTTTCATGACTTTAAAATAAATTGTGATCAATAGTACATTTGATTATACATTTATTACTGTCTCTCTGATGTACTATGGTTTGTACATTTAACTCTGCAATGGCTTTGTAGTAATCAACCTTTAAAGGATGTTGACAGGCTCTGGTTGCTTATTTTTAGAAAATAGGGATATTTAATAAAAAAAAGAAAAAGAGGGATTAACAGTTTTTGACCTCAAGTCTTGTCTGTTGAGTTGGCTGAAGTTCCAATATGTTAACCCTGATGGTTAGTTTTACTCTGCTGTTAAGCATCCATTTAAAAACGTTATCTTTGCCTGTTAGTATTATATTGTTTAAAAAGAAATACAAAGTTGTAAGAGCAATGGAGTTTTTTGGATGCTGAATGCAGCATTTATCAGTCAGATCTGTCCTTTGGCTCAGTTATTTTTATACTTCTGTCAGTTCCCAAAAATCTTAATGTCTATTTCACAGCTTAATATCAATGATTTTTCTAGTGGTGGTTGGAATACCAAGAGTATGAGGTATTTCAATATAGGTTTAATATATTCTAATTAGTCAGTTCCTCATCTTTGTCTTAGGAGCCTTGATTGTTAGAGAAAGGATAGATTATTACCAAATTTGCCTCTGATTTTGAGTTGGGTATTTATAATTAAGTTTTGGGGATTATCATGAAATCTCATCTTTGCTTACTCTCGTTTTAATGCTCTGCAGAGCACAGACAGCACTGATAACCAGTAGATTCCTTAAGAATAGTGGCTATTTTTGAGTTTGTGAGAACTCTAGAGGACATAAAATAAGTATTTCAGGGAAACTTTATTTGTATATAGCTTCTTCAGCTAATCTCTAATTACTTGAATTATTGGCAATCAGTACTTCCTTTGAGGGAGGGTGCAGAATAGGATGGGGAAAATGAGACCATAAGAATTGTGATGTTTTTTATATATTGGTATGCTGCTTGTAATTCTGCAGTGTTTTTATTCACTGTTATATTTGGCCTGAACAATTTTGAGGACATAATTTAGCAATTAAAATTTAATTTTTTTCTGATTTGCAGGATGCTGTAGCTACTAGAGATCAGGTGAGGTAGATTTAGAACAAAGTATATAAACCTTCTATAGAATTAGAATTTTTAAATTGTAATTCCTTGTCATTATAAAAAAAACTTTATTTCATTTTATTTGATCCAAAAAGCATTATTCCAAAGATATTTTAAGTATAAGAAATTAGACTTATACCAATGTTGTTTTAAACTAATAAGGCTGTTTTAGAGTTCAGCCTTGCATGTAGGGTCTTTGAGAGTAAGCAAGAAAAGGTCTTGACTCCTGAGTGTGCCTTATATGCTGTGCCACTAACACGACGCCCTTTTGATACTAGAGCTGTGCTGTATACTGTTGGACTAGCTAGTGAAGTTAAGCCCGAGCAAGAACATTTATTGTATAATGTGCATTTAGTAGTTGTTGTTCTGGATTCAAAACAATGGTAACAATCTTAGACCCCTAAAGGATAATGCTTATGTGGGGACAGGAAAAAGAGGTAGTTCTGTCTCCAACCATTACTACCTACCTAGTGCTTTGCTGTTTACAGGGTGCTTTCACAGACATCTCATTTGAATTTCACAACAATCCCTGAGCAATGCATCCCTATTTTAATGACTTGAGAGGTTAATTTTTATAAGGCTAAAGGAACTAGGTTTTAGACTTCACCCCATTTCTTTTAAAAGTTGGGGGTCAGCAAACATTTTCTGTAGTGAGCCAGATAGTAAATACTTTAAGCTTTGCAGAATATAACTTTTTTGTTGCAACTACTTAATTTGCTGTTGTAGCAGGAAAGAAGCCATAGACAAAACCTAAAAAATCAGTATGGATGTGTGATTAAATTTTACTTATAAAACCAAGTGGTAAACGGACCATTGTTTGCTGATCCTCTGTTTTAAAGCATGAAACTAGAGCAGCCATATGGATTCAGAAAGTCTTATTTTGGGATTTTCAGAATAGCAAGTTAAATTTCCTAACTGCTAACGGCATGCAGAAACTAATTTGGCATAGTGTATTTTAAGAAACACCATGCCTCTAAATATCACTCACTGACTTAACACATTTAACAAAAATATATTGTGACCTTAAGGTCATGTCACTTTGGCCATTTTTCCAACCTCCTACTCCCTCCTCCCAAGACCTGACTGAGGTCAGTTATCAAGAGCCAATGTGTGTTTTGTTCTTGGAATACCAGCCAACTGTACAACTGTTATAAAAATGTTTATTGTTTACCAAAACCAGTGGACCTCTTAACAAATGCTGCTTGGTAACAAAATCTTATCACAGTTTTAATAAAAAAAAAAAAAAGCTAACTATTTGTCTCATTGTCATTAGTTAGACTTTCTGCAAGGTCACTTAATCCAGACTTATTCAGTGCATTAATCAGATTCTCAGGCGTTGCATGGACTCCCTCTTGATCTTGCCAGGCAACTAGTAACTGCCTAGCTCTCATCTTCATGTCTTCACTATCACACTCAATCTGTCTAATATCCGAGTCTTTCATTTCCAAGTAGGGAGCCAGAATCTTCCATTGTTCACCCAATTTGTTGGCAAATATCTCTATTTGTTCCCCTGTTACAGGTTTGTCTCGGCGAGCATCAGGGCCTAGAAAACACAAGAAATGTAAATTATGTACCAAGTATGAGGACATCTACAATTCAAAGTATACAACAGAAATGGGAAGATATGGGGCCACCGAAATATTAATCCCCTTTAATAACCTTTATTTTGAAAGTAAAACAGTTCCTTTTTATATTTTTCCATGGATTGAATACTGTTCTTATGACCATTAGGAAATCAATTTTAAGTTATTGTCAAGCAGTGCTTTAAATTCCTTACTATAAGAAGCAGCTGAGATACATGGTAGAAGTTGAGAAGTAGATCAAATTAAATAACGTACCTCTCAACAAAGAACCACAATCTTTGTAAAATAGCCAAGAAAATTCAATTCTTACTTTCATTTTCCTTCAGTAAAGCATCATTATCTTCCTCATCTTCATCCTCACCTGTTTTTATTTCTTCAGAAGGAGGCTAAAATGAGTAAGGAGAATGTTTAAAAGAATGCCAACTTCTAAAGTAACTTGGGATTCATTTGTTTAGATAAGCTGACTGTGACATTCCAAGTATAGGACCCAGAACTTTACCCCTGAGGGTGTTAAATGTGAATGTTAGATATGACAAGTAGAAGAACAGTGTTAACCTGGAGAAGGAGTGGATGGGGAAGATCTGAAAGTTGGAAAGACTCCCCTTACTCCCCCAACCTGGGAAGAAGGGAGTCAGTAAAAGATGTTAAAATGATTTTCACATACCTAGCATATAGTAACAATAGTCTAAGGAAGACCAGGGTTGAGCACCTATGTCCTTAAAATTTTTTGAGTGATTTTATTAGCTTTTATGCACATAGTTATTAGTATCATATTGTAGTAATACAATGAGAAAATTGTATTGAAAAGGAGAGCCAGAGTAGTAAGGCCAAGTTGCCTACTACTACCCTGTCTTTGAATATAATGCACCAACAAACAGGAAAAACGATAACAGTTTCTCCAGAAGTATTATAGACTTAGATTAAGTTATACACGTGTTATGTATTTCCTATGAAATGTATCCTCAAATGCATTTCTCTTCATTCTAAAACATGGAAGTTGGTGGATTTTTCCCCACAACTCTAAATTCAGCTCTGTTCAAACGATAGCAGTTTTAAAGAAAATAACATCAACTAAAGGAAATGAAAAAAATAGATTTATAATACTTACTGGTAATTCCTTTGCTAGCTTTATTACCATGTTTTCAAGATATTCTGGCAAACTTTTGAACTGCTGGTTGGTTGGCTGGAAGAAGTGAGGGCTTCTCCGTGCTAACAGTCTCAGGGCTCTCCAACCATAATTTGAATTGTTCACAGCCCTATAAAAAGATGTTGGTCTTATAACTTTATAGTCATTTATTTCTATATTCCCTTCTAGTTAATGTAACTCACCAGGTGAAACTCTGTAACTCTAAGATAAGTAGCTGAAGGCACCATTCTTTTCACTCTGATCGTATTCCCAAAGAACCTCAGTGTGCAGGTCACTTATATTAGAAACCAACAGAGTCTGAAGAGGGAGGTCACGCCAGCAAGCACATTTAAAAAGTTTGTATGCATTTTACTTAATTTAAAAAAGTCAATATGTGCAGTACTGGCTAGATGTTGTATATGCAGGACAGAAACAATCTAGTTACTTAGGGGGGAAAATGAATTCATAATAGGTTCAACATGTTTTAGTGAGTTGATATCCGCCAGCATAATGCCACCTATAGGTGTGAGTTCCAGAACATAAGTTCAACACTAAGTTCCAATCATTAATTTAATCAATGCTTGGTTTCCTATTTATACAATGCCTAAACTTTAATTTGCTCAGAACCAACCTGATGGGATAAAAATGGCTCCAAAATGAAAAGGGAAATATCCAATAGTCAAGAGAGTAAGCAATGATGCCAAGAATAGAACCAACCCATGAACTGTTCCGTAAGGAAGCAAAGTGGTAATAGGTGGTATCCAGTAAGGTAAGAAATGGAAACCTCAGGGAAATGCTAAAGACAGTGTTCCTGAAACAGGCAAGCTGCAGAAGAATCCAGAGCACAATTCCCCCCCCAACATTTATGAGTTTTTTGCAAGTCGGAAATACCCTCCCTCCCCAAGCTGTTGAGTAGCAACCTCGTTTACTTGGAGCCTCATTACCTTTGAGGCATGCTGGCACCTGCAAAACTACTTCTAGACAGTGGGGACCCTTACCAAGTTAACATCATGCTATGAGGCTTTGCCAAAATAGTTAACCTTTTCTCGGACACATTTCTGTTTAGATAATTTGAATCTTTTAAGCATTCTGTCAATTATACATACAAAATTATTCTCTAGAGATCCGTATCACCCAGATTCTTAAACTAATCTTAGAGGGCTATCACTCTACCTAGTCTTACCTAACAATAATAAATCAATATTCATTCAACAAATACTTGTTGAGCTGGGCACTCAGGAGTCATGGAGATCAGGGCCCCTGAGGTCACAGTGATTTTCCTGGCTTTGCCATTTACTAGCTGAAACAACAATTTCTACCTAAAGAGTTATATAAGGTAAGTGCTTAGGAAGTAACTGACATAGTAAATGAATCTGTTCCGAAGCATCATTATTGGTAAATACAAGGGTTAAGACAATTTTAGGTAGTGGTAAGGATGAGAAAAAAATGACAATTTCAGATGGTGATATGTACTATGAAATAAATGTTAACAGGGCTGCATTAAGAGGGAAAGGAGAAGACTTGGTCAGGGAAAACTGCTCAGTATTTAAGATGAGAGTTTAAGTGAGAGAGCAAGCCATGGGATTGCCATGAGGGAAGTTTCAAGCAAATGAACATCAAGTACAAAGGTCCTGAGGTGGAAGTATCTTTTGAGTTGAATGGAAACAGGGCTTGTATGGTTTGAGCAGAGAGAAAATAAAGAAGATGTGACTGGAGAGGTAGAAAGGTGCAAATCAGATAAAGGAGGCTTGTTAGTAAGACTTCATCTTAATTTTATTTATTTATTTTTAAATATATCTGTATTGATTTCAGAGAGGGAAAGAGAGAGAGAGAAACATCAATGAGAGAGAATCATTGATTGGCTGCCTCCTGCACGTCCCCTACTGGGGATCAAGCCCGCAACCTAGGCATGTGCCCTTGACCAGAATCGAACCTGGGACCCTTCAGTCCGCAGGCTGACGCTCTATCCACTGAGCCAAACCAGGTAGGGCTTCATCTTAATTTTAATAGGTAGCAACAGATTTGACTTGTGAATTTAAAGATCACTGGCTAATGCATGGAAAATTGTCCAGAATTGGTCATAGCATTCTTTTTGCAGTGCTAACTACGTCATGCACGATTCAAAGTAAATCATCTTAATCCTCAGAATAACCCTGTGAAATGGGTACTATTCCTATTAATAGACAAGGAAACAAACAGAAGGGTTTAATTAGTCCTCGTAGCCTAGCAAGTTAAGTGGTAGAGTCCCAGGATTGGAACCTAAGCAGTTTGACAAGAGGGCTCTAGCCCTTAAGTCAGTGCAATAAGGCCTATTCAAAATCATGGAGCTGTGGATTTAGTTGAAGAACCTGAGACTGAGTCCTGAAGCTACTCCAAAATTTTAAGTTAGGCAGAGGATTGGGGAGCCAGCAATGGAGACTGAAAATCAATTAGACAAAACGATAACAGTGGGAGCTATAGTTAGATGGCTGTTGAGAGAAGAAAATGTTATCTAACAAGACAAATCAACTAGGGAATTCTGCTGAGGGGTTAAAAAAAAGAAAAGTGACCTTGATAAGAGCTATATGACAGCCAGAGACAGCCCGACAGGAATGGGCTGAGGACAATGGGAGGTGGGGAAATGAAGGCAGCAATTATCAAGAATTGTTGGGAGATACAAGCATACCTCTCACCTTGCAGATACTGTGGGTTTGGTTCCAGACCACTGCAATAGTGAGTACTGCAATAAAGTGAGTTGTAATTTTTTTTTAGGATTTTGCCTTCAATTTGTAAAAAACCTGACATTTGTGAAGTGTAATAAAGTGAAGTCAATAAAATGAGGTATGCCTGACTGATCTGAAGGGAAACAGGGAAAATAGATGATATTTGGAGAGAGATGTAGGTTCAAGAGGGATTTTTCTGATTTTTTTTGAAATAATCTTGATGTTAAGTTGATGGGAATGGTCATTGAAATCAGATGTGTCATAATGTGAGCTTGGTACATAAACTCACCTAAGAGGAAAAGTACCACTCTATCAACTGTCTCCCTTATTAGCATTCTAGTATACATAAAATTCCTAAGGAAAAGAATTGGAGAAAATTAGCTCATGAGAAACATTACTTACTTATATTCATTTTCAACCATGCTTTCCGGGTCTGCCTGTTCAATGGCTTCTTCAAAGAATTCCTCCAAAGTTGGCATATATTCTCTGGATGTTAAAAAATAACTAGTGAGGATTCTAATGTTATTCACACTTGACTTACAGTTAGATTATTTAGGAAATCAAAATTTTAAGGAGATAAATGACTCAAAACAAGTTAAACTTCTCGGGACAAAAAAGAGGGCAGTGTGGCCTTTACCCACTATGTACTATGTAGTGAAACACTGTATTATGAAATGTGACACACACTGTATCATACAATAATGTACGCTGATGTTACTAGTCACAGAGGGCAGCCAGGGGTTTACTAGCATTTGAATTTCTCCAGCAAGCAGGAAATTTTCACATTATGTCCACACATGGATGTTTTCCCTTTAAACCAGAATTAAACCGAAAATAACCAGACATACTAAGATTTCAAGAACTTTGAGCTTTTTAGATTGCTGCCATGGTAACATGGCTTTTTTAAAAAATTTTTTTTATTGATTTCAGAGAGGGAGAGGGAGACAGAAACATCAATGATGAAAGAGAATCATTGATCGGCTGCCTCCTACATGCCCCCTACTGGGGATTGAGCCCACAACCCGGGCATGTGCCCTTGACCCGAATTGAGCCCCTGACCCTTCAGTCCGCAGGCCAACGCTCTTATCTACTGAGCCAAAGCAGCTAGGGCACATGGCTGGTTTTTAATTGCATCTTCTTGAATTTGTCTTCAGAAATAAAAACTTGAGACAGAGTCAAATAAGATCTAAGGATCTGATCAGAAGACATCTTTTTACTAAAATGAGAAAAATGAGCTCTCTGAAGAAAAACCAAGCATAAAATCTAATGACTTACTAGAATGTAACATGCCCTGTAACTGGTGAACATTAAAGGCCTGTAAGGTTGCTTGTGAGTTTACCATCCCTCTTCTACACATCACACTAGATAAAGCAGGGTTCACACTAAAATTCCAACCAGAACATCATTCATCAATGTTTGAAACCATTTGCTAGTTTTGTAATGAACACTGCAGGTTTTTGCCTCATCTGCTTTAAGACTTTCAAATGCTACAAATACAGTTGAGAGTGCCCATGCACCCCTCCTTCATCTCATCTTCTCCCCCCAGAGGTAGCCATTCTTTAGAACTTGGTGTTTATCATTCATGTGCTGCTTTAAAAAAAAAAAAAATTAAGTATACGTTGTTTTGAATCTTTTCAAATTTTCAATTAATGGAATTCAGCTTGTACCTGCCTACAAACCTGATTTATATTTTATTTGCTTGAATTTTCTATATTTACTTTTTCCTCAACTTGTTTCTTTTACATACTTAGCAAGCATGCTTTACTTGAAGTCTAGTTATTATCTCTATCTTCACCTGTAACATTCATTCTGATCACTCCTTATATATATATTTTTTTTATTGCTAAAAGTATTACAAAGGGTATTACATATGTGTGTGTGTGTCCCCCCGCCCTTGACAATCCCCTGGCCTCCCTTACCCGATCACTCCTTATATTAAGGTCACTTTTCATCAAGTATGTTAGTTCCACCTTTTTAAAATACCCCCAATTAGTAATATTACTGCTTTATACAATGAATCTGATGAGACTTAATCATATTTACTAATGTCTTTGCATAGCAATCCTTGCAACTTCACATTGTTTTGGGGTTAAACTTCTTTCTGACAGGTTTTTAAAGACTGCTGATGACAGATTCTCAGTTTTAATCTGAAAGTAACTTTCTCTCTTGACTAACCGACCCACTCTTTAACTTATTATACAGAATTCGGAGTCCATGCTTTCAACACCTTGAAGTTATTCCACTGTCTGTGGTTCCTTTTGGTCTTGAAGTCTGCCATCAGCCTGATTTTTTGCTCCTTTGAAGGCGGTCTGGTTTTTCTCTCTGGTGACTTTATTACAATGCGTAGAGATAAGGATTTATTGTGTTTATCCCACTTAAATCTGTACCACATGAACCTGAGAATTTATGCTAATTCTTGGTCCTGAAACAAAAATTCTGTCATGTCCTTGATTACTGCTTCTTTCCCATTCTCTTATTATTTCCTCCTTCTATTAGAAGTCTGTTGGACCTTCTCATTCTGTGGTTCTTGACTTTTTCATATTTTCTAATTCTTGATCCCTCTGTACTGCTTTCTGGGTGATTTTTTAAATCATGAATTCTATTTCACCTGTGTCAAGCCTGCTATTTTTACCTGCCTATTTTGTAATTTCAATGACTAGGTCATGTCATGTTTCTTTTATATCTTTAATTATCTTAAATATACTTATTGTAAGCCTTAATCTGATGTTTAACCCTCTGCGGTCGTTTGTCTACTCTCAGCCACCAAAGCTTTTTTACTGTTCCGGTCGTATGTCTGCTCTCAGCCACCACAGCAAGGAACCGTACGAATCTTAACTCTATTCATTCATGTATCAGTTCATAATTTCTCTGAAAGCTCTTAAGTGTCTAAGCGACCTTGTCACGAACCAAAACATTGCCCCGACAAATCGGAGATATCGAAACTCAATATAAACAAACGCGGTCGTTCCACACTCGCCATGCAAAACACCGTGGCGAGTCAGTCGCCTTTTGAGAGTGAAGAAATCGACAAGCTTCGGAGATACTTCGCAGAATTTCAAATAAAGCTTTACAAATTACGTTTAACTGTAATTAGGCATTCTCGCTTGTTAAGATATTTCAAAATAATACTCCAAAATGGCAAAAAGAAAGTTACCGAAAGAAGTGTACTGCGAATCTGAAAGTAACGATGAGTTTTATTTTGGCACCTTGAATACTGACTCTGACGTAGAAAGTGGTAACGTTTGTAGTGATTCTACTAGTAGTGACGTAGTTCCAAAAAAGAATTAATAAATCTTGTTTATCCTTCATAATCTTGCATGTTATGTATCACTGCTCTTTCAATGGAAATTAATTCTGACCAGTATGACACCCATGTCCAAATTTAATACGACCGCAAAGGGTTAATTTCTGTGGCTTGTTCTGTCTGCTGACTCTTACTCATGGTGAATGGTCTTCTTGAATGTTTTGTTAAGTCTGGATGGTGAAATTCAGATTTTTATCTGCAGGATCCTTGGCTTAGGTTGAAGATGTGACCTCCAGAAAGCCCAGGGTTCCTTTACACTGCTTGCAGGATATATTTACACGTAAGAGCCCATGGCAGCAGACTTGTTATAATTTATCAGGAATACATTTTCCTTTTTGCCCACAGCCTAGATCATAATGGACAAGCTTTCTTGTTTCCTATACCAGTAGGCAAGTCTCCCCATCTCCCACTCTGCCCTTCTTTTACAGAAAATGTAGTGTGTCAAGGGGCTCAGCTCTATTCAGGGGAACTCAGTTACAAATTCATGCAGGCCCAAGGCCTTACCTTCTGTCCTTTTGTGGCTGTTAAGACCCAAGTTCCCTGGTTCCCAAAAGTGGGAATCATCTGTACTGCCCCTTAGCTAGAAGCAACCTTGGTTTGTAGTTCCTTCTATTTTTGCGAATTATTTTCTTGTGATTTCTAAAATTATTGTGCCAAAGTCAACCCCAATTTTTTGAACTCTCCTGATAGCTGACAAAAGGCCATTCTACTCAACATTTGAGAAAAGCAATACTTGATGTGAAACATTTGAAACTTGCCTTGTGTCTGATTTACAAGCTTCCATATTATCAGGGCAGAGATTCCAAAGCCTTGTTAACTCCTCACTGAAAAATAGACACATAAACAAATACATTTTTAATGGACACCATCCTGATATGTCTAAAGTTATAAAAATACTTAAAGTTAAGTAGTGGAGTTTTAATTATCTTCACTAATTTTTGGTATTTAGCAAATTTTCTGTATGAGCATATATTGAATGACAATACTTTTTTTCTAAAAATATTCAAGCACAATATAAAGCAATTTGCAGTTAACTAGAAGGTAATGGAAAGGACTGTGGTATTTTGCAACAACTAGAAATGAGCTGGATCAATGCAAATGTATTGTCTGTGATGTGGTAAAAATGTCATAGCCTACAGCCTTGGATTTTTGAAGCAGGAGACATAATGGAAGTACTAGTATGTGTACTTGCATGAACCACATAATGGGCGTATAGATTGATACGGGGTATTTTGCTTTAGTCACCTATGTATACACCAAACACTTAAAAAACTAGACAAACACAAAAACTGGAGAGTTCTTATAGTAACATCTTCAAAATAAAATAACTAGTAACATGCTACATATGAAGACAGGATAACCTACTTTCCCATCAGAATCTTTTTGTTGGGTCCTTTCCCCAGGAAGTCCTCTGGTGCTGTTCTCTTTCGTACTGCTCTCGTTGGCTTAGTATCTGATGTTCTGTGGTGAACAAAACATACTGGAATTACAAATGGACAACAGAAATGGAAGTGTTTAATGTAAAAGAAAACATTGTTTTCTTAAAAAGATGAAAGCTTCATATTATTATAGAACACCCATCAGATAAAAGACAAAAATGCCACACCATGGTACAAATAATAAGTGGGTATACAAATTTTTTTCGATAATTAATAATACATCAATTTGTTCTGGGAGCTTAATTACAAGAAATTTGAGATGAAAATTTCACATAAAATAAATTGGAGTGGTTATATTATTATTGAGCTCAACTTTTTTTTAAACCCTCATCCAAGTATATTTTTTTCCATTGATTTTAGAGAAAGTGGAAGGGAGGGGGAGAGAGAGAAACATGGATGTGAGGGAGACACACATTGATTGGTTTCTTCCCACATGCTCCCCAACTGGGGCCAGCTATCAAACCTGTAACCCAGGTACGTGCCCTTGGCCAGGAATCAAACCTGTGATCCCTCGGTCTATGGGCCAACGGTCTACCACTGAGTCATGTTGGCCTGGGCTTAACTTACATTTTTATATGAAATACATAGACACATATCTCTACATAATAGAATCACATCAAATTATATTTTAATATTTCTCATATTGCTTCAGTATATATTTACCTTTCTTTCACAAAACTTGGGCAGCCTTCATTTTTCCATGAGTTCCAGTTTTCTTCAGTGTTTAATATATGCTGAGAAAAACAAGTTACATTTGCATAATGGGAGCTTCTAAAATTCTATTTGGTGCTAAGAAAACTAAATATAAAACACATACCTCTACCATCTTTGAAAATCTTTCTCCATCGGGTGGGTTTTCAGATAGCAGCTGTGATTAGAAAGAATATACTAAGCTTTCAACAACTTTCTGCATCATAGGAGTGGTTTGTAGGCAGAGAACCAGGAAGTGTTTGTGGTCTTGTACCTGAGCTTAACTTTATCCTTATTTTCCTATTTGGGGCTGAAACAAAGAAAATTCTAAATTTCCATTTTGTTCAATCATGGGTTTGTTGCGTGTTGAACTTACTTGATAAACTGATTTTGTAGTATCTTCAATCCAGAGTGACTGCTCATCAGTTAAAACATAGTTTGAACTACGGAACAAAGCAATAAAAGCATGCTTGAGTAAACAGATTCAATGTACATTCAATTTTAAGGTTTATATTCTTTTTGAAAAAACACAAGACATGTAACAGAAAAACCATAATATAAAAAGTGTCAAAATTTACCAAGACAAGAACAATCACAAATGAGATAATTATATGAGAAACTTCTTGCACTTCATCCTCAAGATAGTTAGAATTGAAGACATGAAAGTATAGAGGAGACTAAAACATTCAATTAATTTGATTAAATATAAACAGAGTAGTGAATGTTTCCTAAAATAATAAGTTTAATGTGGGGTTTAAGGTTAATATCTGAGAGATATTAACCCAGTGGTTCCCAAACTTATTTGGCCTACCGCCCCCTTTCCAGAAAAAATATTACTCAGCGCCCCCTGGAAATTAATTTTTTTTAAATTTTAATAGCAATTAAACAGAAAGATATATGTATTAATGTTTCTACCTTTTTCGTAAAATATAGTAAAGAAAGGTGTAAATTAGAAACATTGAAGTTTGAAATTATGAAACTATTTATTGAACTCAGAATAGAAAGGTAATACAAAAAAAGTTAAAACAAATGCACCTGTGGCCATCACCGCCCCCCTGGATCCCTGAAGCGCCCACCAGGGGGCGGTAGCGCCCACTTTGGGAATCACTGTATTAACCTATTCTTCTACATCAGGGGTGGGGAGCGTCTGGCCTTTGGGCCGTATAAGGCCCACAAAATCATTTGGTCTGGCGCTGCCAAGGCATTAGGGTAAGTTAATTACATGTTTGACCAAATATAGCAGCTAATTTTTAAGTTGATAATTTTGTATGGCCTGCGAATGATGTTATACATATCCAAATTGGCCCTTGGCAGAAAAAGGTTCCCCATTTGTGCTCTAAATGATGCACAGATAGAGCATGCTGCATTCTTTTAAAATGCATTCCAAATATAGTGAATAAAAACCCCAAGCCCTAAAGAAGGCAGAAAGCAGACCCAAATTATTAATAGTTGGCATTAGTTCAGCTCTCACTATGTATTAGGTGCTTTATGGCCAATCGATAAATATTAATAGACTACCATGTGCCGAGATCTGAGCACTTTACATGCATTACTCATTTAATTCTCAGAATGAGAAGGTGTGCATGTTAAACAGACTTTATCGGTTCAATGATTTGCCCAAGGCCATACAGCTTGAATTCAAATCTAGGTCAGGCTTCAAAAAGCCCTCGATCTTTTTTTTTTTTAATATATTTTATTGATTTTTTACAGAGAGGAAGGGAGAGAGATAGAGAGTTAGAAACATCGATGAGAGAGAAACATCGACCAGCTGCCTCCTGCACATCTCCCACTGGGGATGTGCCCGCAACCCAGGTACATGCCCTTGACCGGAATCGAACCCGGGACCTTTTAGTCCGCAGGCCGACGCTCTATCCACTGAGCCAAACCGGTTTCGGCAAAAGCCCTCGATCTTTCTCTATGCTATACCAAATCTCCACAACAAACAGAAGGATAAGAAAGAACATTTCTGAGTGCTTGATATGTGTTATCTTAAAATTACAAGTCAGAAAGAGCTGAACTGCCGCTAGTGAGTAATGAAAGTGGGATCTGAAACCAGCAGGCAGAAAAGCCATGTCTTTACACAACTACCCTGGTAATATAATACTTCTTTACAAGTATTTACACCTTTTCTCTAAAACAAATATCCTAACATCTAGTCTAAATAAAAGCTCAATTATCTAATGTTGCTGCAAAAGAAACGTTTTAGGGATGTGACTGTTATACATAAAATGAGCCCAATACATAAGAAAAATACATCAAGTCCTTCTCTTTGTGGTTTATAAACTACTATCCATTTATTAATTTATACTTACCTTTTGAATTTCACCTGTCCCTTGAGATATTGGAATAAAATGAGATACTGCAGTAGGATGTGTCGGCGAAAGTTACTGTCACTCAGTTGTAAATCCATCAACTACTCGAAAAACAAGCATATACACAAAACACATTAAATTAAAATTTTGCCTAAAGGTACAGGTTATGTTGTTACAGAAATGAAAGATTTCAATTCAAAAAACATTTGCTGAAGGCATTACCGCACACGAGGCATTACTGCAAAAGCCCCAGGACAGAGTGGCAAAAGCTTCATTTAGATTTCTATCAATTTATGTCATGACATATTTGTGTCGGTGGATAGCACTGTTATATTTATGGTCCTGAAGTCAGAATAAAGGCAGAAATATAAAAAAGCAAAAGGCTGCCACTTTCCCACATATAAAGATATAGTGGTGAAAGAGCCCTGCTGGAGTGGCTCAGCTGGTTGAGAGTCCTTGCATCAAAAGGTTGCTGGTTTGATTCCCAGTCAGGGCACATGCATTTATTATAAAATAAGTCTACAAAACAGACTTAATGCAGAACAACCTCTTTCATCATAAAAGCCAAATTAGTCTTACTTGTACAAAGAAGAAATAGGATTCTAAAACTAACATTTGTCAGCTTTAACCAAAAGTAAGAAACATTTCTATTGAACTTAAAAAGTATATCAATAGAAAAAAAATATTTTTATTATGCTTAGTGAGAGTTATACCTTTTCACTTGTTAAAAATTTTGCAAAATATACATGTTCTCCTCCTGTTTTTAATTCTTCCATCTTTTTTCTTGAGGCCTGAGTATCATCTAATTTATAACTCTTGAAAACAGCCAGAACTTCTTCTGAGTACTGCAAAGTAAAAATATCAATTAGTTAAACTTGCCATTGTTGCCCAATAATTTATTTAGTGCTTTTCTGTATCAGAATATCTAGAATTCATTCCCAGTTACCATACATGCATGTGGTAAGGCAAATTAAGAAAATTATGATAGCAAAACGAGGGTAAAACTATTTTGTAGATTTTATGGTACTGTAAAAGTAGGAATAAACTCCTCTTGATGAAATGTGATTTCTTATGCAGTGTGTGTAAGGGGCAAGCAAAGAAAGGAATGCTTTTAGAGTATATAGAAATTTACCAATGAAATTAGCTATTTAGCCAGCTATGGAAACTCTTAACCATTTCTGTGCTAAAGACTGTGACAAAATGAAACAATGATGTCACACCCTATCCAGTTGAGGGGCAATTCCAGATGATTCCTCACTCATCATTTAACCTGAATTGAAATGTTGGTCAAAAAAAAAATGCGTCTAAAATAAAAACTGTTAAAAATAACACAGAACATATACCATCCCATTTTTAAGAGCTATTGACCTTAGATTTTGATTATTAAAAAAGGGACAACTGATCTGTAAGTAGTCAAGAAAAAAAAATATAGAGAATTCTTATAAAACAGGGCTTAAATTTTTTCTGTAAAGGGTCAGAGAGTAAAATAAGTATTTTAGGTTATATATATAGCTCTTATGGTCTCGGTTGCAAGTACTCATCTGCTATCATAGCCACAGATAATGAACAAATGAGTGTGGTTGTGTGCCAATAAAACTTTGTTCACAAAAACAGGCAGTAGCCTGGATCTGGTCCAAGGCCATAATTAGCAGACCCCTGTTCTAACAAAAAAGCTGAAATAATTTTGTGCAAAGTACAGACAGAATGTATTCTGCAAAAATTTATCAATTCATGTTGATAATACTACGTTATAAAAATTACTGACTTTTAAATTCTCATCATTTATAATCATGTTTATGTATCTACAATTTAGCTTCTGTATATTATGAAATAGATACAAAAACATAAGAGGTAGCCCTGGCTCAGTAACTCAGTTGGTTACAGCCCACTACCAAAGTAGTGGTTTCAATCCTCAATCAGGATACATATAAACAATCAATGAATACATGAATAAATGGGACAACAAATCAATGTCTCTTTCTCAAATCAGTAAATAATTTTTAAAAAGGAAGCGGTATAATTATATAGTGAAAAGTATTCTGGACAGAGTCAAGATTTGGCTCTGCCATTAGTTATAAAATATTGGATTTTTGGTAGTCTGGGATTGGCGACCCACCTTGAGAAAAGTTTTCCATGAAATCTTCTCATAGCATTGCACAGGGTTCCTGAAGTAATCCTGAAGTGACCAGAATTTTCGATACAGGTTGTAATCAATTGGAATGGAGCTAATAAAATAAATGATATATAAATAATTTAAGTTCTCTTAAAAATATCTAAATGCTTTTAACTTTTCTTGGGTCACAAACTCTTTTAAGAAGTTGGTGAAAACTACGGTCTGTTTCCCCAGAAAAGTGCACATTCATAAATACTTATATCATAAATAATTTCAAATGAAATTAATAAGTAGACCCCCCTTTATCTATAGTGATGGAATCCTTGAATTTTGGTCGGATGCAAGATTATGTTACTAGTACAAATCTAATATCAATACACACTTACAAATTTTAAATTTATAAGCAATCATTATACTATAGCATGTTTTAACTTTAATGTTAAAACAAACATTTCAGACTTTTTAAATCCATGAGATTGCTTTTTTAACAAAATCCTCTACATGATTTAAAACAGCAATGAAGCCTTTTAGTATAATCCATATGTAAAAACTGCTTGAGATATTAAATACTGCATATCCCAAATATCTATAAAAATGTTCAATATTATTGCTATAAAATTAATTTTGTCTGTAATCACAATTGTGTACTTCATTCTTTCTAAATAAACCTTAATTGAACCAATGGATTATAGTTAGTTTTCCTCTAAGCTTCATGCCCATACAAATATTCTAAGTAAGACTGCAATTTAATATGGGAAACAGGACATAGGTTTGGTGAGCCACACAGTCCCATGATGTTAAGAGTCCTGCCATCTCTATTCTGCCGAATGACAGCAAGTTAACCTTCCATTCTTCATCTTTAGGATGGATATATCAAAAATTACCTTTCCTAATGACTAGGGAGTATCAGAGACATATTATAATGCTTTTGAAAAAATTATAGTAAAATCAAGTGAGTATAATTTTTAACATCTACTAAAAAGTTTTTTTGGGAGGGGGGAACTAGTGTTTAAAAGACTAAAAAATGCCTTAGTTTCTTTGTATATAAAATAAGAAAGAGTAAAAAAGTATAAGATAATTTGCTAGTGTAAAATTCAGTTTCAGAAGTCTGAAAAGTTATATTAGTGACCTAAGAAAAAACAAGGGGAAAAGTATTTTAGTAAAACATATGGTAGCACATTTGATAAAGAAGCTCACCACAGGAATTTAATTCATATGGTTAAGAAGACAAACTGCAGTATCATAAAATATCCATTTAAAGAATAATTTTATTAGTTTGAATTGACATCAATTGGAATAACACTTCAAAAACAACACACACATTGAAAATCACAATAGTAACACATTACATCTTTCATTCACACTTCTGACAACTTAGCTGCCTGGAAAAAAGCTGTGAACTTGGAAATAATTGAAAAAGTCCATGATTTGCAAAAACACAGCCGTCACAAAGTCCATGCATTTTATTTTATAAAAGATACTTGAAGTTCTCTCTCTATATAAAACCCTAACATGCAAATAGACCGAACGGCAGAACAACCGATCACTATGACGTGCGCTGAACACCAGGGGGCACATGCGGAACATGGCAGGTGTCAGCAGCAGGCGGCAGTATATGGAACATGGCGGGCATTGGCTGCAGCGGGATAGTGGAGCAGGTGAGCGGGGCGCCAGACCAAGGCGGTGTGCTGGTCACTGTCATTGGGGCGAGCCTCTGGTGGTTACTGAAAATTCTTTGCTCCTGTGTGCCATGGTCCGCTGGGTGCTCACACCCGCTGCCTGGTCGCCCCTCGCACCCACTGACGGCACTGGCCACGCTCGCACCCACTGCTGGCGCTGGCCCCAATCACTCCGCGCCACCAATGGGTGCAAGTGGGGCTGGTGCCATCAGCGCGTGGGAGTGGTGGCGGTGGGAGCGGGACTGCCGGCAGACAGGGTACCGGGGGCCGCGGTGGGAGGGGCCGGGCGGAGACGCGGAGGATGGGCTGAGACCCACCCCTGTGCTGACAGCAGCCTCGTGGCCCACAGTTCCTTTCAAGGTGCACGAACTCGTACACTGGTCCCCTAGTCGTATATAATAAAAGCCTAATATGCTAAGTGTCCGGTCGACCGCTCAACCAATCAAAACGTAATATGCTAATGATATGCTAAGGCCACTCAACTGCTCACTATGATGTGCACTGACCATCAGGGGGCAGATGCTCTGAGCGGTAGGTTAGCTTGCTGGTGGGGTCTGGTCGATCGAGACTGAGCAAGACAGGCCAGACACGCCCTGGAGCCCTCCTGTGGTTCCTCCCTGGCTGGCCAACCTCCCTCCCGTGTCCCTCCCAGGCCCCTATTGTGCACTGGTGGGGTCCCTCAGCCTGGCCTGCACCATCTTGCAATCTGAGATCCCTTGGGGGATGTCGGAGAGCTGGTTTCGGCCCGATCCCGCAGGCCAGGCCAAGAGACCCCAGTGGTGCACAAATTTGTGCACTGGGCCTCCAGTGCTTATATACTCACCCAGATTACAATGGCTTTGGATTATGTGTAAAGTTAGGTAAATAATTTAGCAAGTTTAGCTAATTTTGATAAAATAATGTTAACTGCATGTGTATCTTGCTTCAAATCAATAATGAAGAATACTGACAACTTTTAATTGACAAAAATCTAGCCTCTGCCAAAAGTTTTGTCAAGAACCAGCGATATTCCAAAGAATCTAATGGATGTGTTAACTTTTGCTTTTTCTAAGCTCTTTCCTAGTATCAACCCTGAAAACAGGAAAATAATTATCTGAACATCAACTTCTTTCTATAATTAAAGCAACATTAATGGTTTACAAAATAAGATTATAGGTATGGGTTTTCTCTAGGTCAAATTAAAAAGAAAAAAAGGCCACAGAACATTTCCCAAAATGTGAAAGTAAAATGGAATAAGAAACAGCTATATAAATTATTTGTATTCATGAAACAATACAATATTTAACATTTGTATAGTTCCATACACTTCATAAAAAAAGCCTACTCTATCCATAATGCACATGAACAAATAAGTCTCAAAAAAAAATCCAAAAGACAAAACACTATATATAATGGCTACAGGACACTGAATAAATACTGTCCTAAGTGCTTTACATATATCACTCTATGCAACATCAATACATACAGTCGTAATGAGGATAACAGATCACTTCCAAATAGCATCTCATTTAATCGCAATAACTGAAGCAGATAGATGGCATTACTACATTTTTAAATACTCTGAAACTGAGTTGCTGGTAGGTTAATAGTTTGTTCCAGGTTATATCAGTAGTAAATACAGGAATTATGCCTGGAGCTATGCTACTTTCAACGTTCCTTGGGGCTATGTGTTTGAATTTGAAATTTGGGATTAAAGGAATATATCTCCCTGTACAGATATAGAAACCCTTTCTAGATCTTCAGGAAATCTTTCAATTGCAACTGATGATGATAACTATTTTAAGGAATGCTAGTGAAAGTGTTCCTGTATAACTTCATGTTTCGCTTCCTCATTGCTTCTAACCAGTACTAAAAATAAATTATTTGGAGGGAAAGCATAGGGTTATAGAGGATGAAATAAGAGACAGTGACAGAAGGGGAGCAGAAGGGAGGAGGAGAGAGAAAGGAACTTTCTTATCTCTCCTATTTCATTAAATAATCAGGCTCAATATCCACAGGTGTTGAGTCCACAAAGCTGAATGGAGGGAGAAGGGGAAGAGGACCTAGGTTGCTTATGCTTGGTCTTTTAAATGTTATGAACATGTATAAAATAAGCTGTGTAAACAATGAACCGTCTGCACAGACAATTTAGAAACTATTGGATACAGTCCAGTAGTAATTGGAATTTATAGTTTTAAGTAATTTACATGGAAGTTACAAATAAATCTACAAGCATGATTTCCTTCATCTTTGTCTACATTCTCTCTCTAGAACTCGGTAAGTCATTAAGGTATTAACTTTGTAAATCAAGAAATCTGGACTAAAAACTCACCAAGTTGTTGGAGCTTCATCATCACCCATTTCACCTTCTTCTACATCCATTCCTTCTTCTCTATCTTCAGCGTGCTAAGTTAAAAGAAAACAAAACAGTACAGCCTGTTGTGAAGCAGTTGTCAGGCAGAAGGTAAATGCTGGAATGTCATTCACACAATGCTAGAAAATCATTAGTAGAAAAGTCTAGTCATAGTAACTATCTAGACCTATAGTTAATCTTTAAGGCAATGTGAATTTTATGCAACAGGGATCTGAGAACTCAAGACCAGTATGACAATGATATAGGATAGCTATGAAAACAACGTGAAGTTTTAAACCAGTATTTCTCCAAACATAGTCAGTAGAGTCTCTCTGGGAATAAAGAATGTATGGCAAAATACCTTTGGAAATATATACAACAACCTTTTAGAGAATTGAGAAAACCATTAGTATATTAAGGATTCTAAGAACTGTAGTAAATAAAGTGAACTTAAGTAGTTTTTAATTTCCAACTTCAATTTGACTATGGAAATCCTCTCTGATTCCTACACAGAACACTTATTAATCTGGGAACACGACAGGATATGCTGTGTGTCCAGCTCTATATTGAAAATTCAAAATAAGTTCACATGGAATAGTCCAAGAAGTACCTAAAAGATATATAAAGGTGAAGGACAAGATTTGAAAAAACTTTAAGCAAAGCCAACATCACTTCCAAACTGATAATGGTTTTATACTTTAAGTAATAAATTACATAAAGTAGTCATTAATCTACAGTGAGATATTAGTTTTATCTAATTAATAATTTTTAAAACTTTTAACTGGCTTCTAAATGAAGAGGAGGTGCTGAATGACCAGGAATTTCCCAACTCTGGACTGTCTTCTGGATATATCATAATCTTAAAAAATCAGTGGGCAAACAATGGATTATTTAACAAATGGTTCTGAGATAACTGGCTTATTATTTGGAAAAAAATAAAATAACTCAATTTATTTTAAACTCTAGTATGTCTTCTGGGTTAAAAGGAAGCAACAAAACCTTAAATGCACCAGAAGAAAACAAAGGGGTTGAATCTTATGGAGGAGAAGCTTTAAGCATGACACAAGGCCAGAAATAATAAAACAAAGACCAACAAATGTTAATATTATAACCAAATAAAAAAGTTCTATACAGCAAAGACTCCATAAAGTTACAAGTAAAAGTATAAACTGAGAAAAATTCTATCAACATATGGTAGGCAATGAATTAATATTCTATATAAAATATTCTATATAATGAGTTTTTACACATCAGTAAGAAAAAGACATTTCACAGTAAATTGGGCAAATGGCAAAAATAGGCAATTCTCTTCCTCAAGGCTTCAAACCAGCACAGAAGTAAATTCCAATCAACAAACAGTAAGTTCCTCGATTTTATTAACCAAGGAAATAAGTTAAAATAAAGACGACTTACTTTTTAAGTACACAACAATTAAGCAAAGATTTTTAAAAGTTGGTAATTCCCAGGATTGCTGTGAGGTTGTGCGAAAATGGGCAGGCATTCTCTATGTGCCACTGGTGACAGTATCAATGATTAAACCCTCTTTGAGTAAGTAACTGGGCAACATCCATCAAAATCTGATATATGTATTATTTAGACATAGCAATTTCACTTATTAAACTTTATCTTACAGATACACCTGTATAATATAGCAGTATTATTCACTATAATGCTGTAAACAATTTTTCACTTTTAGACATTATCTAAATGCCACTGTCAGGATTGTTATACATCAAAAGATTTATCAAAAGCCATGAACACTGATATACATATAAACATACTGATGCAAAAATGCATCCATTTTTTTTACTACTTGAAAAGAAGAAAGTGAATTTCAGAACAGTATGTAGTGTGTGACGTCATTTTTGGAATAAAACTACATTTATACAAAAAGTCTTACGAGGTTAGACAGAGAATGTTAAGAGTGGTTATCTTTTGGGCCTTGGATTATGGGGTAGCTATACTATTTTAAATATTTCTATTTTATTTGCATTTTTAACAGAGAATACATATTATTTCTATAAATTGGAAATAAAGGTTTTTAAATTTTTGATGACTTAGAAGACCCATTCATAAGCTACTTCAATAACAAACATAAACATGTTCTGTGAGATTTCATAACAGCCTCACCTTCTGACCCAAGGTGCTTTCCTGCTCATTGGTATTGAAAACAGTGACATTTTCCAGATTAAACTGACTCTGCAAATTAAGACCTATTAAAAAAAAAAAAAAAAAAGATTTCACAGCAAATCCACCGAACACCTAAACTTTTAAGAATGTAAGTTTGTCATATAACTAAAACATATACAAGAATAAATCCATAATTAAGAAAAAGCTCAAGTTTAAAACAACACCACACTTGTATGTTCAAATTGTTTTAAAATTCATTTCTTAAAGATGCCTTTAGAGCACACAGAATTCTACATACAATATAGTTGATCCTTATTATTCATGAATATTTAAGAACAATTTTATATAATGCATTATGTAGCAATTTATAATTTTGCTGAATCATAGATAAAAAATTGTATTAATCAAACAGTGAGAGTGTATAACAGTATTTATGGGAAATATATTGTAGTTAATGAGCCAGGTTTCTCACTCTCAGAGAAAGAAGTTATACATAAGCAGGTCTACTGGTGGCAGATAAACTCAGAATATTAGTATAATCTTTTGCTGTGGGTTATTGAAAAATATATATACAGAGAGAGAGACAGTGTGATTCTGTGATTTATAAGAAATATATCTGGTTTTCATCCTCAGTTCCTGGCTCACAGCTCTCAAATTGCTTGGAATTTCCTAAGTGATAAGAGCAACAATGGTGTCTCTTGTTATGTTAGAATCATTTCTTGTTATCATGACAGATTCTAATCCATTAAAAACTGGAAAAGACTTTCCTGCAAAGCATGTTTAATGTAAAAAAGCTTACCAGATTTCTCAGATAAAGGGAAAAGCCTGGCCAAAAAGAGTTGAATTCGTCCACAAAAAACTGTGTTCTGGGATTTTGATAATCTTCTTAAGAGATCTAATAATATATGGAAATAAAGGTTACATAGAAGAGATCATTCTTCTTTAACATTCATACCCAAGTTTTTAATCAGTTTGTTAAGAGTATTTTCCTAAAGCAGCAGTTGTTAAGATGGGGGTAGAAACTGTCACAAAAATGCAACAATTAGAAATAAAAACAATTAGAAATAAAATAAGTTTAACATGGGCAAGATAAGCTTTACCTTTTTTTTTCAATACACAACAGAAACAATTTAATTTAAAGTCATTGATCAGTTTTAATAAATCAGATTTATTTAAAAATGAAGATGCTAGTCTATTTAATAAATTTTATTACTTGTGGTTAATTGAACCACCTGCTTTTCTGGCCATATTTACATATTAAAAAACAATCATTTACCACTGAATTACCTACCATTGCACATACGTAGTAAATAATTTTTCCCAGCAGAATAGAATGTATTCTGAAATTAAGACAGAAATAATTACTATAGTTCAGAAGTTGCTGCACATCCTTCAGTAAGTCACAGGAAGTAAAATATTAAAGAATACTAACATGCGCTGAGAATCTACTATGCCACTTTTGCTTTTTCTAGGCAAATAACGTTTTCAATGAAATAAAAATATTTTCTTATATAAAACATGATACCAAAACACAGTTTTAAACATGTGAAAGCATACATTTTCAAGTTGTTATTACTAAGTACTTCAACTTTTTCTCCATAAATGACTCTTACTTGCCTCTCCCAAGAGAACAGAATACATAATTCTTTCATAGGAACAAACTTTTTAGCAATTAGCAGTATTAGAAATACAAGCAATAAAATCTACCCTCACAATTCTGGATCAATAGAAAGATAATGTTAGTAGAAAAAGAATCTAAGGCACTTACTGATTTCCAAGTAGCAACATTTTTTTCCACAAAAGTGAATATTGTGTCACATTGATCCAAAGGGAGACAATCCAAAACATCTCCCAACAATACAAAAGGTGTAGACGCGGTGCAAATACCTTTATGCCAAATTGAAGGGAAAAAAGTTTAAAATACTATTGAATAAAACAGCACATGAAAATCACTCTGAAGAATATCTTAAAGGTACACTTTGTCAATCCTAAAAAGTCTTTAACAGACAAGAAATGAGAGGAACCTAAAAGTCCCCAAACAGGACATACTTAAGTTTTGGTATGTGCACTCAATAATGATGATAAGACGTCTAGAGCATTTACTATATGTCAGGCACATTAACACATTTAACCCTATTAGGTAGATATTATTCTCTCCAGTTTACAGAATGGTAAAACTGAGATACAGAGAAGTTAAATAACTTGCCCAAGATCATAGAGCCAGTAAGTGGTAGAGCTGGGATACGAACCCAGGAAGTCTGGCTTCATAGTCTGTTTTCTTCACCACTAAGGTATTCAAAAGAATATAATGCAGCCAATTAAAAATGGTGGTTATGGTCACTATAACCTGGAATAATTAAGTGAAAAAGGCAGGATTCAAAACTGTATGTATACTATGGTTACAACAATAAAAATTTTAAAAGACTAGCAAAACTAAAACCACATACCAAAATGAATGGTAGTTTTTAATGTAGAGGAATTGTGACTAGTATTTTTACTTTTTCTCATTTCTAACTGTTCTGCAATGTTGCTAAAGTGTCTTTGAGACTTGAAAAGATTATTTTTAAAAAGATAAGGTTTGATATTGATTTCAATTATTATTGAACATTTAAAACAATAGTACGTATTGTTTTAGGGGACAGAACAGTAAAGTTGTTTATTTCTAAATTCAACATTGTTAAAGTAAAGCAATAAATTATTTTAAGAAAAGGTCATTTAGTCTAGCTAAAAATACTTTTATCTCTCTGCTATTTCTGTCTTCTATTTTAAGGTAATATAATTACTAACACTTGTTAAATGTTTAAGAGAGTAGCCACCTAAGCATGGCATGTAAAATAAATAAAATAAAAATAGATAAAATAAATATTACTGTAAGCCCAACACAATGCCTTAATATAGTATATTCAGAAAAAGAAGGCAGTATTTCCAGCTCTGCTGTGCACTGGTAAGATCACATCTGGAATGTGACGTGAGGGATACTGCCTAGAGTCAGTGGGTGGCATAAGGCAGCAGATTTCAACTCAATACAGGGGAAATCTGATAATCAAAACTACCTAACAGAAATAAAATACTTAGCTCCATCAATGAGTGTAGAGACTGCCAGGGATGTTATAGAGTAGTGGTTCTCAACCTTGGCTGCACATTAGAATCTTTCTTATGGGGTGGGGCCACAACATTACTAACAAAGAAACAGAATTTCCGGAGGATGAGGCCCAGAAATCAGGATTTTAAAAAGATTCCCAGGTGATCCTAATGTGCAGCCAAGGTTGAGAACCACTGTTATAGAGGGAAGGCAGGAAGCCAGAGATGAGACTGGACTAGATGACCTCTCAAGTCCCTTAACACTTAGATTCTGTAATACTATATGTATGCCCTGTACATCCAAGAGATTTGAAGGGCATACTCCCTGCCCTTAATTGCAGTGTAGTTTGGCATAACTTAACTCACATTTGATAATTATAGAACTTAAGATTCCTGTAAGATTCTGATTCAGTAAAACTCAATTTAAAATAAAGATCTCTGGTTATTCTGATGAGGTGGGTTATATACATGATCCCCCAGAACTTTCACAACCTGTGTCCCAGCCTCTACATGGGCCTCTTTGATTCACTTTAACCTTGGCCACAGATAGATACCCTCTTCTTAGTTCCTAAACAACTTGCTATGTTCATACTTCCATGATTTTGTTTACAATGCCTTTTCTGACTAAATAGTCCTCCTCCTACCATGTGGTAAATTCTTACTTAATCTTTCAAAATACAGTGGGGCCTTGACTTACGAGTTTAATTAGTTCCGTGACGGAGCTCGTAAATCAAATTACTCGTATGTCAAATCAATTGTGAACGAGTGAGACACGTGATGCTGGGCTGATGTTGTGGTGTTCACTGTGACATTCGCTGCGCCAGCTAGCAGTGGGGTATCTGAAGCTGGCTCGTAACCCGAATTTTAGCTCGCAACTCAAAGCAAAAAATCGGCCGAGAGATGGCAGGTATCTCGAAAAACTCGTTAGTCGGGACACTCGTAAGTCAAGGCCCCCACTGTATAGAGTATACAGTGTATCTAAGCCAGTGGTTCTCAACCTTCCTAATGCTGCGACCCTTCAATACAGTTCCTCATGTTGTGGTGACCCCCAACCATAAAATTATTTTCGTTGCTACTTCATAACTGTAATTTTGCTACTGTTATGAATCGTAATGTAAATATCTGATATACAGGATGTATTTTCATTGTTACAAATTGAACATAATTAAAGCATAGTGATTAATCACAAAAACAATATGTAATTATATATGTGTTTTCCGATGGTCTTAGGTGACCCCTGTGAAGGGTCGAGACCCACAGGTTGAGAACCGCTGATCTAAACGAAAACAACAAAAACCCTTATACCTTTAAGCAGCCCACCTCATCTGTTTCTGAAGTACACTGGACATAAATTATAACACTTATTATATCCTGTTAATCTTATGTGTCCTATGAGTTTTCAAAGGGTAGGCAATTTTGTATATATTAATAAAAGTGTCTGACACTGACCAGAAACTCAATAAATATTTGCTGAGTTGAATTTAATAAACTATGGACAATTTGAAAATGTGTCACATACATAAACAATACTATATTCTCTTTCAAAGAGGAATTTTCCCCGTCAAACTAAAATTAAAAAAGCATTTATTTACAGTTTAACTAAAGTCATAAGTCCTCACCTTTCTCAAATAAAGTAAAAGTTCTAAATATAGACTTTGTACAACTTCCAGTGTTAAAAACGTTTCTAGTCTACAAGAGTAACATATCAATGTACTCAATGAACTAAGTAGATGCTGCTAACTGAGAGGAGCTAGGCAAGGAACACTCCATTTTAGAACTCACTAAAGTATGCTGAATGAATAAGTGAATAAATAAGCATTTTATATAAAAGTTTAATATGAAAAGTCAGAATTTAAGAATTATGCTGAGTTCACAAAATAGCTTGCCACTACACTAGGTCACTTTCACCATGTATATTCCAGTTTTTGTAGGAATAAATATCAAAATAATAATGTGACTAATGCTTTATACATTAAAAGGCATTTCACATAAATTACCTAAATTAAAGAAAAATTTTAACCAGATCAGTTAAAGAGTGCCAATCAACTATTTTTTCATTGCTTCTTTCTGTAAATATTTAACGAGCTCCTATGTATTAGGCACTGTATACTTACTAAGCCTTTTAAAAAAAATCTCCTGAAACTACCTCCCCTGCCACTGTCCCATTTTGAGTCCCCTATCTAGTTTTCCCTGCCAGCAGTCTCTCCCAACCCAACTCTTCGTCCATAGCTCCTCTTTAGCCTGGTATACAAAGCACTTCACAGAAGACAGTAACTTATGCTTCCTGTGTCTCTCCTTACTGTGTTCCTCATCCTCTCACTCCCCTGCTGCAGTTCTTCAGCCATGCTGAAGTGGGCCCTTACATATAACTATCCCATCTGTTTCTGCCTGACAAATTCATCATTCCTCACTTCCCAGCTCTCATGCGACAGCTTCCTTTCTAAGACCTTCCTGATTCCTTTAGACACTGAAGTTTCGAGTATTTCAACCAGATTTCATTCCTACTTCAACCGCAGTAATTACACCACAGTAAGACATTTACACTGTTTCCTCCATTAGCTACTAGGCTCCTTGCAGTCAGAGAATGTTTTATTCACCACTGAATCTCCAAGTCCTAGCTTAGTACCAGGCACATAGTAGATGCTCAGAAAATACCTTATTTTTCCATATATAAGACGCCCCCTAGGTTTTCCAATCCAAAATTAAGAAATCAGTATTTTAAACATTTTGTTGGTTTTCCTCTTAGGGCCTTCTCCTTTTTTGGCATCCTAAGGAGTTGCTCTTCCTGTTTTCTCTACTGTCTGATCATACACTCAGTGGGAGGCAGTCCAAATTGTCTCTCTGCAGCTCTATTGCCATGCTCTTTTGCACAGCTGATTACATTTAGTTTGAATTTTTCAGAGCAAGACAACTGCTTATAGGTATTTATCTTTTTATTTTTTGACATCTTTATGGGCTCAGAACTCGGTCCCTGTTGCATCTGTCTTCACTCCACCTCCAATTACGGCATCAGCTGATGTCGGTAACAATAAGGCTCATGATTGGAGGAAGCCTGTTTGACAAGGTATGGGCAGCTATATACCCCTCCTCGGCTGACTTCCATGTATGACGCCCCTCGATTTTCAGTTTAACGATTTTAGAAAAAAATAGCATCTTATACACGGAAAAATACAGTATTTAACGAGTGAATGAAACAACTGGAGAACAAAGAAAGTACTAAAATGTGTGCTACATACTAGAGATGAAAAATAAAGGTGAGCTACTTTCATTGGTCTAACTTCTTGGTAAAGGTGGTAAGCGGAATTTGAAAAATGAACAGTATCAGATAGATGGAGAGGTATGGGATGAATATGTTTGTTTTTAACCCTCACTAGAGGATATGTTTACTGATTTTAGAGAGAGAGAGGAAGAAAGGAAGGGAGAGAGGGAGGGAAGGAGAAACAGACAGAGACAGACATCAATGTGAGAGAAATATGGATCGGTTGCCTTCCATATGCCCCTGAGCTACTGGGGATCAAACCTGCAACCTAGGTATGTGCTCTGACCGGGAATCAAACCTGAAACCTTTTGGCATATGGGATGATGCTCCAACCAACTGAACAACCTGGCCAGGGCTGAGAATAAGTTTTAAATAAAGCATATCGTGTCCCAGATTACTTAAAAAATAAAACCCATACTTACCTTCAGTTACTCCCCCAATAGCAAGAGAAATAATAGCTAAAACATTTTCACACGATGAGTGATTTATCTACCAACAGAGGAGAAAACAATTTAATTTAGGAGCCAGAGTTCAGACTAATTTGCTAACAATAAAAACATACCCTGACATAAAACTGATTATCACAAATATGGGATACAGCTATTTCTTATAGAAGATAAAATTATTTTTCAGATGAAAATACAAAAAATGGGTAGTAACAGAATTACTAATCTAGAAGTATATTAAGTAAATAATAAACAGGCAATTCACTTAAAATCCAATGGTCTTACAAAAATGGTTTCATTAGCATGATTAAGCCTGTAAGCTAATCAAGCACAGAAGTGCTGATGCCATAACTCAATCAAAGGCAAAGGCAGAGCCAGAGGAATGAATTGTACTGGTACATCAATATGTCTGAGGGAAGGTTTTAATAGAAGGGAAGCAGTACCTAGGTTTGATAACATCATAAAATCCAGCATTTATTGTGTGTTCATTAACTGTCATTTTACACAACAACTTTGAAAGAATGTCATTTGCCTTCATACAAAGAAACTGAGGCCCAGAAAAGCAAAGTAAGGTGCCTGGTGCCTCACAAAAGGTAAATGAGTAGGTCTGAAGAAGAGGAAAGAGTGAATTTTGATGCAGAAAAGGACACTATTATTGCCACAAGAAAAAGATCTACCTTCTTGGGACCTAACCTTCACTTAACCAAGAATAAACTTTTGAAACTTTTTCTTTTATTATTCACTAATGTTAAATAAATTCAGATTTTTCATATTTAGAGTAAATTTATCAACTGAAGTTAAACAAGCGCTAGTTATTCTTTTATGTTGATGAGAAGGATGACATAAGAAAATGAGAGCATGGAACCCAGTTCCCATGCTGAACATTCTTGGACTGGACTTCTTGTGCAACTACAAAATGTGTCACACTGTCCATACAGCAAAATGAGAGACCTAACTTCAAATCCCAGTTCTTGCTCAGGAAGACCTAGTATCAACTTCTCCCATACTATTCACCTGGAGAAGGCTCTCTTCATCTATTAAACCAAACCCTTATACTGCACCTGTGCTGCCAAAAGCCTTAATTATTACATTACTCCTATACTATTATCAAGGCAGCTTTCACAAAGTAGCAAGCTCACTCTAGAAAAAGCAATCATATTTAAATATTCATTCTAAGAATAAAAGCAAATTTTAAATGACCTAATTAATTTGCCAGCAAAATCTTAATAAAATTATACTTACAATTTCTTCTTCTAGAACACCTCTGAAAGCTTGGTCAAGGGTACATTTTTTTTCATTTTCACTATTAAAAACAAAAGATACCTGCATTTTTAAAACAGCTCAGGGTAAGTATAAAGATTTAGGCAATGTATTTTAGGGATATCAATGCCTTACCTTCCAGGTAACTGGCTGAAGGTATTCAACAATGACTTGATATTTTTGTTGTTCAGAGCTTCTCTGGTAGACTTCTAGAAAAATAAAAATAGCAAATAATTGAAAAGATTTTTGCTTATTTACTGAAAAACATGTCATTCATTAGTAATATGTCTAACTAAAAAATGTTTGTAACTGGGAAAAATTACCTATCAGTCATTCTATCAGTAATTCTTATTCAAATGCCACTTCTGATAGACTCTCATTACTTTAAACCTGGCAAGATCTTTCTAGATTGATTTTCTCATTCCAGTTTTTCCTTCCTATCATCTCTTTAAATACTACATTCATGAGAATATTCTATTTATTTTAAAATATATTTTATTGATTTTTTTACAGGGAGGGAGAGGGATAGAGAGTTAGAAACATCAATCAGCTGCCTCCTGCACAACCCCTACTGGGGATGTGCCCCAACCAAGGTACATGCCCTTGACCGGAATCGACCCTGGGACCCTTCAGTCCGCAGGCTCTATCCACTGAGCCAAACCGGCTAGGGCTATTCTGTTTATTTTTAAAGTCTCCAATGGCTCCTTATTTACAGATTCTGGTTTTGAAGTTTTATCTCTCCTCTCAAGGTCCTATGATATCCCATTTAATCTATCCAGTCTTACTTCCTACTCCTCCTAACACAAGTCTCCACTAAGGTCTAGCCATTTCCCCCCACAATTTTCTATCAAGTGCACTCTAGTGTATTCAGGCATTCATGTTGTTTTTCCCACCTGTCCAAGCAAATTCTATCCATTCTTCAGGACCCATCTCAAGTCCTGTCATCTGTAGGTAGCTTACTCAGCAGTCTCTCACTACAGTAAACACTGAATACATACCTGCTGATTGTCTTCAAGTAGTCATAATTTAAAGACAAAAATATTGCCAAGTCATTCCTTCTGTGAAAATTCACATACACTTAAAAAGTCATCGTATTAACCTCACAGGAATTAGATTTATACTGGAAATGTCCATTCCTGACTCTGCCAAGATCAGGCTGTCATCTTGGTCAAATCCCTTAATGCTTCATTTTCCTCACCAGTTAAATACGAGGGTTGTTCTATCAGTGGTTCTCAACCTTGGCTGCACATTAGAATCACCTGGGAATCTTTTTAAAATCCAGATTTCTGGGCCTCATTCTCCGGAAATGTTTCTTTGTTACTAATGTTGTGACCCCACCCCATAACAAAGAAACAGAATTTCCGGAGGATGAGGCCCAGAAATCAGGATTTTACAAAGATCCCCAGGTGATTCTAATGTGCAGCCAAGGTTGAGAACCACTGCTGTAGGTGATCCCACCACACACCGAGGCTGAAGAAGCACTATCCTAGAGACGATCTCCAATTCAGTGGTCCTTTCCAGGGCTACTGTGATGACCTTGGATATTCCTAACAATTAGTCTTAGCAGAATTAGTCAAAGCACCAGAGATTAGAGCAAAATGCACAGAAAGAAAATATTCCTGATGACATAAACAAGATCTACGCTGGTAAAAAGAAACAAACCCCATACCATATGGTAAAGAAGTAATAATAACCTGCACACAAGAAAAATTCTTACTACAAAAAAAAAAAAATCAATTTCCTTTCATAGAATGATCATTCTGGCATCGCTGTAAGTACACAGGCATTGTTAAATACCTAAGTAGTTAAATCATGCCTTGAAACACTGGCGCAAACGCTAAAGACAAATTCAGTCAAACAGGATTTTTCATGCTGGGGATGTATGAACAACATAAAAAGAGTAGGACTGGGTTTGAAACCAGGAAAAAAACCACCACTTTAGTAAATCACTTCACTTTTGGGGGTGGGGGGCGGATGAGGGAGGTTTGTCTCAGTTTCTACCTCATCTACGAGGGATCGTAAAAGTTAGTCTAATGAACAGTGTTAAGAGTTACATAAGCTCACATAAGCTGTTTCTCCAATGCGAAAATTACTCTTCCCCAACGTGTGAGAATAAGATGACCTCTGGCCACGCTTCCTTTCCCCCTGAGCCTCTCTCCATCCCTCCCCGAGGAGGGGGATGCGGAGGGTTACAGGTGCGGAGGGTTAAAGGTGCTGAGTCAGCGGCCGGGACCACCTGGCAGCGAGGAGGCGGGGCGGGAGCCAGCCTTTGGGTTAAAGCCGCTGCGGCCCTCGCCTCCCAGCAGCATCCCTCCCAGTTCCCGAGACACAGGTCCGGCTCAGCGTGCGCCGCGGAGGAGCTGGACCGTGCGGGTCTCCGTCCGCAGAGGAGCCCTTCCCGCTGGGCGCCCGGAACCCGGGGTCCTGGGTCCGGCCGGCGGGGTGGCCGAAGCGGGCAGCAAAGGTGCAGAAGAGGCAGGTAAGGCGCGTCCCCCCGCTCCCAGCCCCCGACGGGGTCGGAAGCCTACGCTGCGGCGTACCCCCCTTCACCCCGGGGTCAAATCCCAATAATCTCAGGGAGAGGAGGGCGAAGAGCAGCGCCCGGCCCAGCTCCCACCCGCCTGCCGCCCGCTCACCGTAAACCGCGTCCGCGCTTCGGGTAAACTGAAGAGCGGCGGCGTCGGAGACATCTTCTCGGCTGCGCGTGCCCGCCACCGCGCTGCGGCGCAGGCCGATGACGTCGGGGCGGGAGCAGCGAGACGGCCGGCTCCGTGTGCGAGCTAGAGCGGCCCGCGAGCCGAGGGCGGGGCGGCTG